AAAAAAAAACCAATGTTGATAATAAGGAAAGATTATGGCAATTACTTGGACTAGTTATCAGAACAAAAACTCAAAGAAGCGTGCGTTAAAATAGGAAATAATAGAATGCCACTCACCGAAAATGCGTTCCCAATAACTGTACAAAAGAACAGCAATTTTTTGTTTAACCTCAAACGTATCACGCGCAGTAAATTGGCTCGTTTTCCACTCTCAGCTGAGATTTTTTGTAAACAAACGCTATGCTACAGGTCCGCTTTGAATTTACGGGTCTTTTTTTTTCTTTTTTTTTTTTTGTAATATTGTTACGAAAACCACACATTTGATAATAGGAGCCTTTTCTAAGAAATCAAATTATTATATAAAAATGGTAAAAACAGATACACAATCATGATGTTTTGTGTAGCTGGCGACTGGCGAACAGATTAACAACAATTCGGCGATCATATCATGGAAAAAGGGATTGATAATTTCCTTGTAGAAGGGCCTAAGGTAGTTGAATTGTGATATTCGAACGGGCAAAGCCATAAGGAGCGTGAAGAGAAGATGTTGTAATATAATAAGTTCCTGTAAATAATTTGTAAACAGATCTTCTTGAAAAGTGTCCATGCTACCCTGAAAATCGCAATCAATGGTGCAAACTTAATCTTAAAAGAAATTGGGTAAAAATGTAAACTCGCAGAGGGCAGTTTACGTTGCAATAAATGTTCAATACATTTTTTAATCTCTATCTCACGTTTGTTTAGCCTTTTTTCGATAAATTTGGGTAACTTTGACTTCACTGCCGCAACCTTTCGGTTGGTGTGCAAGGAATTTATACCTCAATTTTACAGACATGAGAAACTATGTACGTGTTCTTCAATCATCATAAAAATTTACCATTGCATCATAGCTTATGTCTTTTAATTGAAGAAGGATTTGGAAGTGAATCGGGAAAATAATGTGGAATACTCGTTCAATAATCTCGATAGATGCAGGCGACGATTTCGGAAAATTTATCTTTCTTTCTAAGCATAGTCTCTTGTTAGGTCGAAGCTCTCTAATTAGCGATGGTCAATAGCTTCGCTATTCTATTTTTAATGACAAGTGTTGTAGTGAGGAACTAACTGCAGAAGACACTTGGTAATTGCTCGAAAATCCCTCATGTTTGGGTCATTTGCCAAGTTTGAAAAGAGAAGAAGGTATCATTAACAAATAGGGTGCATGAAGAAACAATTCACGCTTGCATTTTTCGATTTTGGCTATTTGGAATAACGGATTAATCGAATTGGATTGGTGCGCTGCTTTTATATTCGTCTCAGCTTGGTTTAGATTTTGCCATCCCAAAATTTCTTTGCTGTAAACAAAGAGCCAACTCAGTTAGAGTGGAATCTTGCTCGGTTTTAATATTGGTTGATTTGAAACTTTTTTAATTTATTTATCTATTGGTTACATATTTTTTAAAGGTTGCCGGATAACATAACATAGATCATAAGCTTGCCAGTCTTAAAAAGTCTCTCTCGTACTTGAGATTTGTACCTGCGACTATTGAGTTGATAGTCGCGATTTGAGACTTTTGCAATAAAAGCATTGCTTCACCTAACAACGTTGGTTCAATTTTTTTTTAAGATGTACAAAGTTGTTGAGAGCAGTCCCCATTGATGACTGCACAAAAAATGTAAAGATTGAAGTTAAGCTCTATGAAGTTAGTACTTTTATACTTTTTAAATAACAACTGCCATCTTTATCTCAGGTCAGGTGCTCTTGGGATTGCACTCGTACTCGTGCACTTGGAAGAGTGACCTTCACTCGGAGCTGTGGGCCGGACAGCATGTTTAATAGGAAACAGAATGAGAGGGAAAGTAAAAATAGAGTTTTTTTCGATTCGATCGATGGATATTGGGTTACTTTTATGTTTTTATGTGATTTTTTATATGTTTTTAAATGAATAAATAAATGCATTGAAATCGTTAATCCGTTCCACGTCGTTGCGATGCTTTCTGACGTATGCTTTTTTTGGATACACGTTAACAAATTTAATAATCTGGAATAAATTAATTGCCACGCCCACGTATACCGATTCTTGGTAAACCTCAAAAACATGGTGATAAGAGCAATTAATTTATAGATTCTAATATTTTCATTTAAAAAATTCGGTTTGTTACACAAACGCATTTTAGAGTGTACTGGAAACGGTACACAGAGCAAAGGGCAAAGTATTAATTACGGAAAAAATATTTTACCCGAAACAATAGATTATTCGACCTATTTTCTGCGTTCATCCTAAAATCCGAAACAATAAAGTGCCGGTGCATCTAGTTTAAACTGGACCGAGTGTAATAAACATCTGTACAGTAATCGGCAACATTCGCATATGCTATAATAGCATTTACTCATCATCTCAATGAAATGATATGAATTCAGTTTCGTTTGCGCCCAACCACAATTATCGGATGTTCGCATGTAAATATTTCTACTCAAAATTACGTGAGTTATTTTTTAAATTTGTAAATACGATTACAACAAACAAGAGGAAAAAATTTAATAATCACGATTATTTGATATTATTATGTATTGAATTAGTTTTTAAACTTGCATTTGGTGTGCTTTGTTTTCCTTCTTTCCTTACATTCGATAGTCACGTTAAAAACCGTGATGCCGCAATATATGTTTTGTTATATACACGCTTCACATTAAATGAAATAATGTAATGCCGCTTATTAAAAGCGTCAATAAAATTGTGTTACAGTTCCTTTTCATTTTAATGGAAGAATAAAAACGTAGTTTTTTTTTTTTTTTTGTAGATAAAAGTTTTTAATTAAAGCAAATAACAAATGTTTTTCGTTATATTAAAATTAGAGTCACTGGCTAAGAGAACAAGCAAAAATATAATAATTATAATAATAAAAAGACGGAATTATCGCGGTTTAAGGCGCGTTTTTTATTTTCTTCTTTTTTTACGGCAATGATTTATTTTTTTCAATTATAATGAAATTTCATAGAGCATCAAACTTGAAAATAAGAGCAAATTTATTTCAATTATAATATTTTTAATTAAATTAAATGGTAATGATTTCGTAACGTGCTCTACTTTTCATTAGAAATATATGCATTTGCTAAGCTTTTTGAAAAAAAGACTTCGATCTTTCTTCAAACAGCTGAGATTTGATTTTACTTTATTCCACATATACATAGCTGGACATAAGCTAATTAATTGTGGCCGCTTGGAATCGAATAAGTAAGTTTTGGTGATTAATGTGAAAGTGTACTCCCTCTCAAATGTTCGATCAACACGAGCAAGTCGATGATGCTAATTTGACTGCCTTCTAGAGGCGCTGCACATTATGGTCACTGATAGCGATTGGCGATAAGCCTTACTTCTTTAAACACGATCTTCATAGAAAGCGTCAAAGTGGTGCATTGGATTCGCTAAAAACCCTTCGATAACGAAAATATTGCCTATACGCAGTCCACGCACGAGAAAATTGATTTGTTTTTGTATGATTATAAAACATATTATACATGTAAATACTGAATATCGAATCGCCGCTTCTTAAAGGAAAAACAAGCCTATTAACTATTACCATTTTTCATGCTTAACAGATTTATCTTTGTATCATTGCTTTCTGTTCCCGAAACTCAAAATGAGTGCGCAAAGGTTTTTAACACAACAATTTTCGAAAAACATTGCTGAAGGCCAGTCAAGAATGCAAACTAGCATTGGTAGAATGTGGCCGAAAGGGATGTATATTGCACGCAACGAAATTCTTTTTATGAAAAAATCTTTTTCTTTAAGTTTAAATTAAAAAAAAAAAATGGTTATTCGAAAACTTTAAAAATTATGAACACAACCAGCCTAAGGAAGGAAGTGTTACCGATAAAAACCGGTTACAATATTTACGTGTCACATATCAATTGCTTTCATTTATATTAATAGGTGCGGCAAGTATGTTAAAAGGGTCAATAAAGAGTTTATGGCCAAAAAACTTTTGTTAGATCTCAGTTGACTCTCTATCTCGTACCCAAGAGACATGGGTTCTACATTCAATATCATGAGTAGACTAATGTTATAACAAGATCCTAACTGTAACAGTGCAGGTGTTACACTCTGTTATACATAAATGAAATACACAGCAGCGTTTACACATCATATAATACTTGCATTGGTTTCATTTTTTTTTTTTTTATGTAAAATGTCTTACGTTTAGAATGTTTTTAATAAAATAGTGGAGTAACTGTACCAGGAAGTAAATAAATAATAATAATAAAAAAAAAAAATATATAAAAAACAATAACCGGCCTAAATTTAATACAGTTTCTTTCATACTTCCCTTAAATTAAATTTTACAAGGGCACCTGGTTGAACTATATTTGCTCTTATGTTATATTTGCGCTTAAGTCTCTGTAAAAAATTTTAATTAGCCAACTTGCAACAGCGCTTTGTTATTTGTTTATTTCCCATCCAAGGGAAAGATTTGATTATAATTATATACTAGAGAGATGTATAATAATTAAATGCCTCATGCCATCTTGGTATGCATAACTGTTTAGGTAAAAGCGAATTTCTCACTAAGATATAAATCATAATTTTTTACAACAATACCAATAACTAATATATACAACATTTCCATGACAATGTCTTCAGCATAGAGAATGAGCTCACAATCGCAAATATGCGAACACAACAGATATCCGTCATTAAGAATTAGAATGAAAAGAAGATAATAATATAAAAATATTATGAAAAGAATTACCGCAAACCAGTTTCGTTAAAGCGAACAAGTAAACAAGCAGAAAAAAAAAAAAAAAAAAAAACAGTGTTTTACTAACTTGTACAATAGAAAATCACCGCATAAGCAATAGTTATAGAGCACAAATCATTAATCAAGTTGGACTACAAGAATTGTAACACTTTCAAGTTTGTGCCTTAAGTCTTTTGTTATAGCGTATAGAATGCGCGGCTTCTAAATTGGACGCGTACATGCATATGCATGTATGTCGCCACTTTTGCTTTACTTACTTACCTGTTTTAATTGCCATTGCAATGTATCTATTTGATTTTGTAATATAACCGCTTCCACATTTGTAGCACTCTCGGGCAGTTCATATGGTGATGATGACGCTTGATGGCCATCATATAATAAACTATTATTGGAGGATACTGTTGCTGAATGTTGCAGTTGCTGATTAAGACGAAGATGATGTTGACGATGATGATTATCAGAGTTTGCATCATCTGTACTAAAATTTGTCGCTAATCTTTGACTGTGTTCCAATTCCAAGACAGTTCCATTATTCTCTTTCGCTGTGCAAATATTGCAGATCTGTTTAGTAAAGAAGAAAAAAAAAACCCATTAAACAAATATTAAAGTAAATTCGCTTCACAAATTCGATACACTGTTCATGATTTTTTTATATTTTATATTTATATATATATTTATATATAATGAAACTCTAAAAATGCTGAGCGGAGATTTTTTGCCAACCAAGAAGGTGGTATTTGCGGTAAACTTGCTATCAGACTGGGCTAACTTAGTTGAATTCGAATCTAAGGTATAGATTTATATTCACCGTTTTGGTTGTTGTGAACGCTTGCAGCACTTATTTGTCGAAACGTGGCATTGAATTAAGTTTTCATCCCACGTTTGTTATATCCTACTACACCACTTGTGTTATAGGGTTTATTAGGTTTGTGCGCACGCCCAGAAGGACTTGAGATAGATGTACCTGCTATTACACCGATCGATTGAGAACCATTTTCTAAGCTTGTCTCTTTGTCCGTCTGTCTGTCCGTCAGCCCGTCTAATTCTTATGTTGAATCTACAGGTCACAATTCTCGAGATATTTTGACGAAATTTGGTACAGTGTTTTGGCCAAAGGACGAACGCTATATCGCCCTATATTGATAAGCCATTTAAAGAAAAAAATAGTGCAATTTTCAGTTTCAATTTTGCCGTGAACACTTTGGATCGAATGGAGCAATGTTTCGAGCCCTTTGCGATATAATATTTCTTATTGAAACTGGATCTTTATATGGTAAGAAGGCCCAATGTTCTTAACGAAAATTTTGTTCGTAATAACAATTTGACATTTAAAAATAACTTTACCGAATTTGCATCCTTATAAGCGTTCTAATGAAAAATAAGCCTTTTATGTGCCAAAAAGGTGAAATTTCTAACATTATTTGATGATAACTTACCTTTAGTAAATTAAGCACAGGTTACACTACAGATTTCTACTAATAAGAGGCACGCAAGAGCAAGCAGTGCAGAGAAAAATCACACTGTACGCAGATGTGTTGGTGTTCAGTGGAATGTTTTGTTTCCATATTGTTTGCACCAATCGGGCATTTTTATGTATTGAGCTGGGGCCAATGATATTGGCTAGAGCACGGCGAGTGCCACGCAATCGGAGTCCGGAAGGAATCAATTTATTGTAAGCCTAATTTAGCTGTAAGATCCTACGCATAACTCTTGCGTTATATAATGCGTTCTGTTTTCTTGAAGTGTTATGAGTGCCCCCATATTTTTATGGAAAGGCTTACAATGCTCCAAAAGAAAGATTCAAAGATCCTATAAAGTATATATATATATATATATATATATATGTATATATGTATATATTTGTCGGTTCGTTATCTGAATCAATTCTGAATCGATTTAAGCATGTCCGTACATTCGTTTGCCCATGTGTGTAAATTATGTGATGAAAGTTCATCCGGTCTCAAAAAATGGTGTCCCAATTTGGCGACAATATTGACATTCCTTACGAGCACATTGAGATTGAAAATGTGCCAAATCGATCAAAGGGCAGACGGACAATGCGATATAAATTGACATCACCTCGTGCTTTTTGGGTTTTCTGCTCATTATTATCCATAAATTCCAACAGGCACACAATAATGATCAAAACTTCGACGTGTACTCTCCGAAAATCGAAGAGATCGGTCATGCCCACACAATTGAATAAACGATAAAGATATTATTTTCCTTCTCTTTATTATTATTATTTTTTTAAATATATGTGGTGAGTATAAAAGATTCGTTCACAGCCAATCACAAGAGAATTCTCGGAATAATTTTTATTTCACTATTTATTTTACTAGAAATCCTGATAGAGTTTTCTTAATTTTTTTTTTTTTTTTTTGTTTCAGCGAGAGGTCGGTATATATTATTTTTGTTGCTCTATTAAGCGGTATATGTTACGTAAGATTGCTATGACATGACACCTGTTAATTTTGCGTAAGATTGTGGGGATTATTAATGAAAGGCGTATAAATCGAAAGTCCGTCTGCCTGGTCTTTTATAATTGCAAAAGTGGATGCATTGAATAAGTTAGTTCATAACATATCGGTACATGATCCTTTTTAAACCTTTGTTTTTGAAAACCCACGATACCGTGACACTGACTATCACAAACGTTATGCTATTCTTTGATAGCAGTTTACATGCTCTAAGCCCTACGCTGCTTGAAATACGAGAAGATGATAGCGGAGTGGGGCCAACTCATATAGTAAAATAATAAATACAAGTAGTTGAGCTTAAATATTTAATGTATACTTTAGCGTTTTCGTTTTTTGCTATTGTTATTGTACGAGATGAACCAAAATAATAACAAAAACTAAAAAAAAAAAAAAAAAACATATTTAAGTTATTGGCAACACTTTATGTTATGCACCAGTAATTTTGTTGCTCCAATAAGTTAAACACATGTACGTTTATTTGTTTGTGTGAGTGCGAATGCATGTATGTACATGCATACATATGTAAAAATGTAAAAGGCGATATAAACACATTAATAGTGTAACATATACATGTTTAAAGAAATAACATTTTTTTTCTTGCCTTACAAAAAAAAAAAAAAAAAAAAAAAAATACAAAAAAATGCGTCAGAGTAAAATGTTTTTCGTTTCTCGTGTTTTAAAACGACAAGTATACAAAAAAACGCAGGAAATTTTTAAAATGTTTAAGCTATAAAATGTAAAAAGCAGAAATAGCATGTTATACACACGAATACCACGCCACTCAGCTCGTCATTAAAACTGAGAAAAGGGCGAATTTAGTGCATTTGACTTGTAGCTCTACAAAGAAATTCTCTGCTAACCTTACTTAGTTGCATGCACTCACTACTTAGTTCCCGGTATTTAGTTGGTTTCACAGTGAACGTATCATGTATATGCGATTGTGAATGTGTGCATGTATAGGTAAATGAAAGCAAATGATTAAATAAATAAGTGAATGAATGAATGAATGAATGAATGAACAGATGGCTGCGTTTGGAGGGTTGGATAACTGGATGGATGGATGGATGCATGGATGGATGGATGGATGGATAGATGGATGAATACAAATATAAATAAATGTTTGTAATAGTTTTTTTTTTTTTTTTTTTATATGTATATGCTTGTTAAATGACTGTCTATTTAAACAGGTGAACTTTTTAAATAACATGGAAACGTTAGTGCTGTTAGTGCGGCTTGAAGAATTTAATTAAAATAATTTTTTTATTTTTTTTTTTTTTTGATTTTATGTGGCTTTGTCGTAGTTCAGGAAGTTATTGAAGATATAAGGAAACCTCACAGTGTGAGTTAACGTTGCTGATGGTGATTTTGACGTTGATGATGTCGGTAATAGCGCATGCACTTTTAAAGGTCATTAAAAAAAATAAAATAAAAAAAAAAAACAAAAAAAATATAAAAATTATGTTAATTTCAGTTACACTTAATTAGCAAAATGAACGTATATTATGCAAATATTTTTTATATCCGTAAATACCTTAGTATGTATGCGAACGTATGTATTTGATTGTACAGAAAAAAAAAAAGAAACACTTAAGCGAGTATATAAAAAATCCGTTTACTACAACAGTCGCTGATAGCATTTAAAAATTTTCGAGTAGCCTCACCAAATAAACATGATATTATTAATTCATAAAGTCTGTTAATGTTTGAGATGATACAATTTCAGGTTTTTATACAGAAAAAAAAAAAAAAAAAGAAAATTTTGATGCAGATATTGACTCTGAGTTTGAGGACAACTAAGAACGAAAATAGGACTATCTCGTTAGAAAGATCGCTTACCGTAATTTGATTTTCTGCTACCAACTGTACGATGTCATTGAGTGTAAATTCGAACGAGAGAAAAAAAAAGGTGAAGAAACGATTGAATTAGGCTTTCATAGATAGGAACGAAACCAAGCGAAATCAACTAAAAAGATGTGCCATATATATATTTCGCATAAAATAACTAATACGATCGTAATAACAGTCAATAATCAATTAATAGCGTTAGTTAGTGTTAGTTAATCAAGAATTAATGAAGAAGTTGACTTCTCTGCCTCTTATAATCGCATCAATCTTTCACTTTGTGTCCTTCTAATGCTAAGTGTTTTTAACAAAGTAATTTTTTTTTTAATTTTTGTTTACAGCATATCGGGTATAAATCGTTTTCAAAATAATTCATGCTGAACGTAAGTTTACATGTATTGTGTTTAAAGAATTTTTAAAATTTTCAATACAACTTCAATTAATATAAAGCAAATAAGAAATTTACATTCGCTTTGGGATGATTATTTTATACCCTATCATATCTACACGTAAGACTTTTAAAATATTCTGTCAGGTGTGGAGTTTCACTTGCAAAGAGATTTTACACGGTTCTAAGAAATATCCGGACGTAGTTTCACTTTAATATCTCTTACAGTTAATAAGCTTAAGCCATTTGCGGTTCGTAAAGTGATTACCGTAATATCTCGCGACTCTCTCTTCGGTATTTGCGAGTTTAAATCCAGTTCGGTTTTATCGTAGTTGACCGTACTTTTAGTGAATGCTCATGCTTATTAAATTGCGTCTATTTTCACTTCGTATTTTTTTCTCGGCATCTTTTTCATTAGGCAACATTTCTTGGGTGTTTGATTATATTAAAAAAAAAATAAAAAAAAAAAAAAAAATTCTACACGAAAGTGTTATTTGACTTTATTGAATATCGATTTTAACTTTTCGATTGATATTAACGCATCACGTTTGCTTTTTATTGGGGTAGAATTTACCTTCTAGATCGAAAGACAGATAGATGGGCAGATAAGACGTGGGCGAATAAGCATAGGACAGGACGGATAGACGAATAGCATAAAGTCAATTTTAAATTTTACGCTAATTAAGAATATATATATTCTTTATAGGATTTATGGAACGATGCGCACATCTGGTTGTTACAAACAGAAGAATAACTCTAGTATGTGCCCATCCCTAATTTAAAAAAAAAAAAAATTGTAATTATTTGCTTTGTTTTTTGCTTGATTGAATATTTCTAATTAAAAGCATATG